GTCGCTGCTGCACTGACTCACCTGAGCTCACCTGGGCACATCTGGGGCACATCTGGACTCACCTGGACTCACCTGGGTGCTGCTTTTTTGGGTCTTTTTGGGGTTTTTTGGGGTCTCTGGGGGATTTTCGGGGCTGTCGCTGCTGCACTGACTCACCTGAGCTCACCTGGGCACATCTGGGCTCATCTGGGCTCATCTGGACTCACCTGGGCGCTGCTTTTTGGCTCTGGGAGGGGCTTTGGGGGGAACTTTTGGGGTTTTTTGGGGTCTCTGAGGGATTTTCGGGGCTGTCGCTGCTGCACTGACTCACCTGAGCTCACCTGGGCACATCTGGGGCACATCTGGACTCACTTGGAGCTCACCTGGACTCACCTGGGCGCTGCTTTTTGGCTCTGGGTGCTGCTTTTTTGGGTCTTTTTGGGGTTTTTTTGGGGTCTCTGGGGGATTTTCGGGGCTGTCGCTGCCTGGAGCTGCTGCACTGACTCACCTGAGCTCACCTGGGCACATCTGGGCACACCTGGGCACATCTGGACTCACCTGGGCACATCTGGACTCACCTGGGCGCTGCTTTTTGGCTCTGGGAGGGGCTTTGGGGGGAACTTTTGGGGTTTTTTGGGGTCTCTGAGGGATTTTCGGGGCTGTCGCTGCTGGACTGACTCACCTGAGCTCACCTGGGCACATCTGGGGCACATCTGGACTCACCTGGAGCTCACCTGGACTCACCTGGGCGCTGCTTTTTGGCTCTGGGTGCTGCTTTTTTGGGTCTTTTTGGGGTTTTTTGGGGTCTCTGGGGGATTTTTGGGGCTGTCGCTGCTGCACTGACTCACCTGAGCTCACCTGGGCACATCTGGGGCACATCTGGGCTCACCTGGACTCACCTGGGCGCTGCTTTTTGGCTCTGGGAGGGGCTTTGGGGGGAACTTTTGGGGTCTTTTTGGGGTCTCTGGGGGATTTTCGGGGCTGTCGCTGCTGCACTGACTCACCTGAGCTCACCTGGGCACATCTGGGGCACATCTGGACTCACCTGGACTCACCTGGGAGCTGCTTTTTGGCTCTGGGAGGGGATTTTTGGGGTCTTTTTTGGGGTCTCTGGGGGATTTTCGGGGCTGTCGCTGCTGCACTGACTCACCTGAGCTCACCTGGGGCACATCTGGACTCACCTGGAGCTCACCTGGACTCACCTGGGCACATCTGGACTCACCTGGGCACACCTGGGGCACATCTGGACTCACCTGGGCACATCTGGACTCACCTGGGCACACCTGGACTCACCTGGAGCTCACCTGCATTAAACTCATCCCGTCCCCGACCCACCCTGGCTGTGGTTTGGGGGTCTTGGGGGGTCCCAGACTCACCTGGGGGACCCCAAATTCACCTGGGGGACCTCAAATTCACCTGAGGGACCCCAAACCCACCTGGGGGACCCCAAAACTCACCTGGGGGGGCACCTGGGGGACCCCAAATCCACCTGGGGGACCCCAAATTCACCTGGGGGACCTCAAAATTCACCTGGGGGACCCCCATAACTCACCTGAGGGACCCCAAACCCACCTGGGGGACCCCAAAATTCATCTGGGGGACCCCAGACTCACCTGGGGGGGCACCTGGGGGACCCCAAAATTTATCTGGGGGACCCCAAAACTCACCTGGGGGACCCCAAAATCCACCTGGGGGACCCCAAAATTTATCTGGGGGACCCCAGACTCACCTGGGGGGGCACCTGGGGGGCCCCAGACTCACCTGAAGGATTTTGGGGATTTTTTGGGGGGTCTCCAGCCCCTTTTTTCTCTCTCTCTCCCCCCACAGGAGGAGCCAGCGACCCCCCCCAGGTGTGACGGGGGCGGGACCCCAAATCCCACCTGAGGGACCCCAAAAATCACCTGGGAACCCTCAAAATCCACCTGGGGGACCCCAAAAATCACCTGAGGGACCCCAAATCCCACCTGAGGGACCCCAAAAATCACCGGAGGGACCCCAAAATCCACCTGGGGGACCCCAAAAATCCACCTGGGGGACCCCAAAATCCACCTGGGGACCCCAAAATCCACCTGGGGGACCCCTAAAATCACCTGGGAACCCTCAAAATCCACCTGGGGGACCCCAAAAATCACCTGAGGGACCCCAAAATCCCACCTGAGGGACCCCAAAATCCACCTGAGGGACCCCAAAAATCACCTGGGGGACCCCAAAAATCACCTGGGGGACCCCAAATCCCACCTGAGGGACCCCAAAAATCACCTGGGGGACCCCGAAAATCACCTGGGGGACCCCAAAAATCACCTGGGGGACCCCAAATCCAACCTGGGGGACCCCAAAAATCACCTGAGGGACCCCAAATCCCACCTGAGGGACCCCAAAAATCACCTGAGGGACCCCAAAAATCACCTGAGGGACCCCAAAATCCACCTGGGGGACCCCAAAAATTCACCTGGGGGACCCCTAAAATCACCTGGGGGACCCCAAAAATCACCTGGAGGACCCCAAAACTCACCTGGGGGACCCCAAAAATCACCTGGGGGACCCCGAAAATCACCTGGGGGACCCCAAATCCCACCTGAGACCCCCCAGGTGGGACCAGGACCAGGTGGGACCCCAAAAATCCCCCAAAATTCACCTGGGGACCCCCAAATCCACCTGGGGACCCCCAAAAATCCCCTCAAATCCACCTGGGGACCCCCAAAATCCATCTGGGGACCCCCAAAGCCCCCCAAAATCCATCTGAGGACCCTCAAATTCACCTGGGGACCCCCAAAATTCACCTGGGGACCCCCAAATCCACCTGGGGACCCTCAAAATTCACCTGGGGACCCCCAAAATCCCCCCAAAATTCACCTGGGGACCCCTAAAATCCACCTGGGGACCCCCAAAATCCCCCCAAAATCCACCTGGGGACCCCCAAATCCACCTGGGGACCCTCAAATCCACCTGGGGACCCCTAAAATCCCCCCAAAATTCACCTGGGGACCCCAAAATTCTCCTGGGGACCCCCAAATCCACCTGGGGACCCCCAAAATCCCCCCAAAATTCACCTGGGGACCCCCAAAATCCCCCCAAAATTCACCTGGGGATCCCCAAATCCACCTGGGGACCCCCAAAATCCCACCCGAGACCCCCCCAGGTGTGACCGGGACCCCAAAATCCCCCTGGGGGTCTCCCCATCCCCCCCCGAGGGGATTTTGGGGTCTCCCCCTCCCCAATTTTGTCTTTTCCAAATAAAAATTCCAGAAAAATCTTCCGGATTCGTCTTTAATTTTTGGGGTCTCCCCCTCCCCCTTTCACCCCCAAAATCCCAAAAATTTTGAGGTTTTTACCCCAAAAAAAACCCCCAAATTTTGAGTTTTTTACCCCAAATTTTGAGGATTTTTTTCCTCTTAAAAAATCCGAATTTTGAGGTTTTTTACCCTAAAAAAATCCGAATTTTGAGGGGTTTTTTACCCCAAATTTTGAGGTTTTTTTCCTCCAAATTTTGAGGCTATTACCTCTAAAGAAAGCCAAATTTTGAGGGTTTTTACCCCCAAAAAAAACCCGAATTTTGAGGTTTTTACTCCAAAAAAAACCCTCAAATTTTGAGGTTTTTCCCTCTAAAAAAACCCAAATTTTGAGCGGTTTTTTAACCAAATTTTGAGGTTTTTTCCTCTAAAAAAAACCCAAATTTTGAGGGTTTTTACCCTAAAAAAACCCGAATTTTGAGGGGTTTTTTACCCCAATTTTTAAGGTTTTCCCCTCTTAAAAAAAACCCCAAATTTTGAGCTTTTTACCCAAAAAAACCCCCGAATTTTGAGGGGGTTTTTTACCCCAAATTTTGAGGTTTTTTTCCTCTAAAAAAACCCAAATTTTAAGGTTTTCCCCTCTTAAAAAAACCCAAATTTTGAGCTTTTTACCCCCAAAAAAACCCGAATTTTGAGGGTTTTTTTACCCCAAATTTTGGAGCTTTTTCCCTCTAAAAAAACCCAAATTTTGACGTTTTTTACCCCCAAAAAAACCCCAAACTTGGGGTTTTTTACCCCAAATTTTCAGGTGGGGGTATCCCC